CGTTTTTCAGTAGGTAACTTCTGAATACCTGCGGCGCACTTCAGGAGCTCACTTCACCAGCAGGGTAGGACCCTTCGCAAACCGTTTATAACAAGGACTGCATCGGTTTGTCGCAAGTAGTTGTATTAATGATTGCAACAATGTGTAGCAAACCTCCTGTCCCATGTGCTTCCTGCCTTGGTGTAACGAATGCAATACAAAAGCAGTAACGGTGTTGATTGCAGGCAAAACAGTAAACCGGGCTCAATTACCGTGGGGGAATATGCATTACCCAAAAGTTACCCAAATGTGTTCTTGAGGATCGCGGTAGCCCTGAACCAGATCTGCAGCTGCCATAATCTGGAAAGGACGTTTAGTTTCAAGATTAAAAATGCATTACCAAGCAGCTGCTTTTGACCGTTTGCTGGGTCATGCAAAGCGATGTATGCTGGCGCAAGACGTGCAGCCAATTTTCACCGCGGAGGTAAGCTCTGTCGCAGTACATCCGGCGGTAGCGTACCTTTTGTCCAAAGTTCCATGGAAGTAAAATAGAATGAAGGTTAAGCAATTAGAGTAAACGGCCCTTTAGACGTCTATTTCGATAGGTCAGTAGTTGATGCGCCCCGGAGAAGTTGATGCCATTTGATACTGTGTGGGACATTACTGCAGGCATCATGTGCTTTTTGATTTCGTCGAGCTTTTTAACATACATGGCTTAATGTTGGCGTATATAATTTTGCCGCAGTGCTTCAGGCAGGATCCATCAGCATGTTTCTTTTTTCGGAATTCCACGGCAAGGCAGTAAACACTACTAACATGTCAACGAGTGCGACAGGTTAAGGCAAACCAGGTTCCGGCGGCAATCACAAGCTTTTGTACGCCGTGCTGGGGATCCATGTTGGTAGCCGGACTGCAAACGTTTCGTCCCTAACACTGATGCACTCGAATGCAGCAGGTATAGCAGGTGGCACGGTAAAATTAGCACACGGCACTTCATGGTGTTTAGCATCTCAACCAGTCTGGCTTGGGTTACCCGTGTACACAAGGTCGGTAGTCTGCGGGATGCTGACGCCATACATTGACAACATAACTGCCTTCGGAGATTATCTGGCTTACTTATACTCAACAACCTCATCGTTAAACATGCTTTGGCTGGCCTTGTTGCATTTTAGCATCCTCTTTTTATGCCTCATCCGACAAGGTTGGAGAATATTTCAACAAGTTGCGAACCTAACGACCGGCTTTGATCCTACAACACTTTTTACATATCAACGGCCTAGCTCGTTTGTTTAGTTAATAAAACCTATGTCTCCTGTCACTTTCCAACACCTGTAAAACTCTCAATGAAACAAGACCGGTAGAGACGGTCTACTACCAACTATGTGCAACTAACTATCTAAATACAGCCACATAGTTAACACCAGCGACGTTCTTATAGCAACGCATAAGAAGCCGTTACTATTCAAAGCCGAACTAGTGGCACTCTAAGAAAACGTTCCCGCAATTGGAGCGCTGTCATATCTACTTACCTCTTCGTCCTACACGATGGAAATACCAGCAAACGCCCCGCTCGACATGCGCAGAATGCCAGCAAGCTTATAAGTAATATGGCTGCGAAGAAGTACCAACAGATTGTCAGGTCACAAAACGCCATAGTTTGTACGCCTCCAAAAGATGTGAACAAGAAATCCTAAAACGAACCTGGTTATGGCCTGCCTACTATGAGCAGAGGACTGCACAGTGGTACGGCTTTGTAAAACGACAAGGAAATACAGTTGTCCCGTAATGTGCAAATTCAGCTTCACTTCTGAATCTGACAAGTTCACTCAAAATGTACACGTATCTCGTCCACTACCCAGTTCAAAGCAGTCTTAGTCAAACTCGGTCATTCTCCGCTACAAAAGAGTGTCTACTACCCCATAGCGGGAAATGGACGCTGTTTCAAGAATATTATTCCCAAAACCAAGCTTCAACGACTGCACATCAGGCTTGATCGCGCATACCTACGAGAAACCTATTGATATCGACACAGTTGTAAAACCGGTACAGAACACTTAAACTTTAGTATTCCAATTAGCGACCTGATTTCTAACGACACTGCCTGCAAACCCCAACAGCCTTTGTTCCTCACCAAGCAAGAAGCCAAGTCTCAACCAACCACTCCAAGCGGCTACTGAGTTATGGAACGGAGCCAGCAGCACAAGCTCACAAAACAATCGCCTAGTAATACCCACCGTTTCTCTAGGTAGATCATGCACAAATACAGCGTGCACCTCCCAGATTAGCGTGCTGCCATTATTTTCTCAACCCATGCCTCCAAAAGCTAAATCTACAGCCCCAACCCTGAGTCCAAGCTTGTTTTTGCACACTGTTTCCGAGCAAAGTACTGGTTAACCAACACCCGCCCCGCAAACGCTGGTAGCACTGAATATCCCGGATGAACTCTCCGTGACAATGGCCATAGACACTATAAGAAGGCACTGCACAAACTTGGTTCACTGCACACAGAAAACTGGCTAGCACGGTGGTCGCTCCAACCTCATGCCCAATTAAGCCAAACATATCGGGCTTACGAGATACAAAGTTACATAACCAACGCTAAAACCTGACAGAAAATATTTCATATGTAATGCCTCGCTACCGTCGCTACATGGCTAAGGGCACTGAGCACCGAAAAAATGCAAGCAGTCGTCTTCCACCAAAACTCAGTACCCCACAAACCACCTGCTGGACAACGTCGCATAGTGACACTCCCTCACCAGCACCTGCTTCCTTGTATTCTTAACACCTGTGGCCACTCAGCCGCCAATGTACTTCCCACAAATTTAGCTGTGTCTACTCAAGCAACTGCTCCAAATAGCACAAAGACTGCAGACCGCCACAGTTCTCACTGCGACACCATCGACACACTACCCCTTCATTTCCTCCGTATGTACTGAAGTTGTAAATAACAAGACGAAAGACAGGCACAACAACAACTTTTCACTTTTATGGCTACTTCTCTTCGGCGCAAGCTACACACGTTTCGGGCATTTACCTTACTTCCAACTTCCCACATTTTCCTAAATTTGAGGCATGGTTAAGCGAAAGTACCCAGTTCACCGCATGCCGGCTGGCTTAATACAATGCTTCTTGGTGCTTTCAAATTGTAAACCACAGCGGTGGGCGTTGTATTGACGCTTGAGACGACATTTGCACATGCTTATTCACTGATCGTTAGCTGGCCAAAAGCACCGCTTCAGCCTTCATTTCCTCGCAGACCTGACCACTCAAATGAATCGTTGCTTGCGTCAGAAATCCAGCAAACACGCACGCAGTAACCCTAAACAGCTCATTCAACACTTTTCTCTAAATTGCTGAGCGTCCTGCAAACAGTATAGGCATAGGAGGCGACATTAACATGTTGAATGTCACTTGGGATGTTTTTGCCGCAAAAGAAAAGTAAGGCAAATTCGCGTCGTTCATTCTTTCCCATCGCTGGACGCAGAAGGTTCGTTTACCCACACGGAAAGACTACTTTCTCTAGTTCATTTTATTGCAGGGCGACCCAGACAAAACAACCGAGGTAGTCAGAACATTGCCTGGAAGACAACAATAGCTAAACATGTTTTCATGCAACCTGTTCACGTCAATTACGGTCAGCATGCCTAAACTCCATGCCTGGCACAGTTGATGCAACAAACAACTAAATACATACAGAGTTCACCCTTGCACTGATAAATATCACAAAAGTTAAGGCGCGAAAATAAATTAAAACAATAATGTCTCTCAGCAAACAAGCTGATATGTATGTAAGCAAAAGTAACCTGCAAATGGTACAGGCTGAAAAAATCGTAGAAAACGTTAGAGAAATGATGATAATTTACTTTCAAATAGACAGCGCAAAAGTCAAGGCCCTAAACGTGTAGAGAAAACGGTATATGTATACAGAGCGGATCTGCTTCTTGTACGTTGGAAGAAACCATTGAAATATGACTCTACTCAACTTCTCTGTATTTACTTGTGGGCAGTGGCTTTATTCAGTGGCCAGTCACATCCGCCACGCCGCAAACTTGTTAAGCGGAGTTTGGTGGCTTGTTATAAGGGGAAGGCTTGCCAGGTGCGCAGGGCTGTGGTTATGTACATTTTCGTGGAGTGCTCCAATTCTCCACTACACTAGGCTGTTGGACCATGGTACCGGGCGCAGTGGTCCCATTTAATGGTTGGCACATGGAAAAGCTAGGAACAGCTGAATTAGAAGAAGCAAAACAATGGTTAAAAATAACTTTTAGCAAAAGCAATTAGTAAGTACACCGGTTCCAAAAAGTAACCTAACATTTCGGCGTACTGAACTAGCAAGGTACAACTTAACGTAGCATGCAAACAAAAGCTTTCACACTAAAATTTGATCACACGCGCCGAAACTCAAACCGCGTAAAGCGACAGCTGAGAAAAGAATCATTTCTATGGCTGCAATCTTTGTAGAATTGAAATTAAAATAGACTATTTGGAACAAGATTAAACGTTCGTGGTTGTAAAGGTAATATTATTGTGTGACGTTCACCAGTTTGCGAGACTTTGCGATTGAATGGCTGTCTAAGCATAACGTTATTATGTTTAATTCACCAAAAACGCGTTCCAGCTTTTGTAAGTTGATACAGAAAAATGTGAAAGTGAGATACAAAGCTAGAACTGCACATTATATCTGTTGTAGCGATTGTAAATAATTTGCTTATCTTTCATTTTCACGTTTACCTATTTCGCTGCAGTTGTTGTACAGCTTTGTTTTAATTAACTAGAGATACATACACTTGGTTTCGAGCTCGTCTTCCGTGGTTCTACCTTGGTTGCCGCTGGATTGTTGTGATTGTGCGCGTCGCTGCCTGCTCTATTCACGATCGGACTCTACGTAAACGTACACTTCGGCATACCTCGCGATTTACGGTCGTCCGACGCTTAGGCGCATCAGGATATTTTATATGTGAGGTAAACCTGACTGACTGAGTATTCTCCTTTGCCGGTTCCTCCATATAATTGGTGACCCCGCATTTTTATTTATTTTTCGTGTATATTTTTCCTTTTTTCACTATGTCTGATCACGCGCCCGCTATTAATGCGTCGGAACATTCCCTTGGACTCGTTTTACCTTCTTTTGACGTTTCTAACCCACGTGTTTGGTTCATTCAAGTAGAAGCTGTTTTCCGTTTTCGTAAGATCACATCCCAGTCCACAATGTTTTCATATGTGACTGCTCACCTACCGTCCAACATCGCCTCAGAGGTCATCGACATCCTTGATCCCATGCCCCTAGAGTCCCCCTATGATAAACTTAAGGCAGCCATATTAAAGCGCACTACAGCCTCAGACGAGACACGCCTTCAGCAGTTACTCTCTGGCGTTGAGCTTGGAGATAGAACGCCGTCTCAGTTACTCCGACACATGCGTTCCCTCGTCGGTTCTTCAATACTGGATGACTCCGTTCTCCGCCAATTGTGGAGTAATTGTCTTCCTGCGAATACCACGGCTATTTTAGCTGTTCTCGCCGACGATCTTCCGCTAGACAAACTGGCAGAAGCTGCTGATAAAGTTCACGAACGCTTCATTAAAACGTCGGTATCACACGTCACTGAGACTAGCTCAGGCAACCTCTCTGGAACCACGCTACTTGATACAATCAACGAGAGACTTTCTAACCTAGAGCTCACCTTGTCCCACCTCAGACGCGACCGCGTTCCCTCGCGACGATCCGTTTCTCGATCCAGACGTTCTAGCAGCTCTCGTACACGACAGTCTCACCGCTATTGTTATTATCACCACCGCTTCGGAGACGCAGCGCGTAAGTGCCGTCCAGGGTGTAAACACCCTAAAGCCTTTTCAACTCCTACGTCGGGAAACCACATGGCCAGCCAGTAATGGCGGCGGCTGTCGCTGGCCAGGTTATTAGTCGCCTGTTGTACGTATTTGACTCCACAACCAAACTTCACTTCTTGGTTGATACTGGTGCAGAAGTCAGCGTTCTCCCCCGTTCTCTGGAAAAACGCCCCCTGCAACCAGCTGGTCCAATGCTTACGGCAGCTAATCAGACTAAAATCGCAACCTACGGCCAGAAATTACTTACTTTGAGTCTCGGACTACGGCGTAACTTCCCTTTCATTTTTACCATCGCCGATGTGCAAAAGCCCATCATCGGAATCGACTTTCTCAGCAAGTTCGGTCTTGTGGTCGACCTACGTTGTGGGAAATTACGAGACGATACTACGTCTTTAAGCATCCCCTGCAAACTTGCTTCAGTCAATTCTCTCGGGCTTCGCATCCTCATACCTGACGACTCACAGTACTGCTCATTGCTCCGACAATTCCCGTCCCTAATTCGAGCGAGTAACGATACTTCCCACCCTAAACACGATGTACGCCATCACATCGTTACAACCGGTCCGCCAGTAACTGCTAAAGCTCGACGCTTGCGCCCTGACAAACTTCAGGCAGCTAAAAAGGAATTCCAACACATGCTTGATCTCGGCATTGTTCGTCCTTCAAACAGCTGCTGGGCATCACCTCTCCATCTGGTGTCAAAAAGTCAGGCGATTGGCGACCATGCGGTGACTACCGTGCTCTCAACAATGTCACTGTTCCGGATAGGTATCCTATCCCCCATATCCACGATTTCTCACTTGGACTAGCCGGAAAGTCGATCTTTACCAAACTCGACCTAGTCAGAGCTTACCACCAGATTCCAATGGCGGAGGAAGACATCGCAAAAACCGCTGTGATCACTCCATTTGGCCTTTACGAATTTCTTCGTATGCCTTTCGGCCTCCGGAACGCAGCACAGTCTTTCCAACGCTTTATGGATCAGGTCCTCCGTGGCCTTGATTTCGTCTATGTTTACATTGACGATGTTTTGATCGCAAGTGCCACACCCGACGAGCATTTATCACACCTCCGAATGGTTTTCGAACGCTTTGAAAGCCACGGTATAACCATCAACCCGGACAAATGCAAATTTGGTCAGCCAACGGTCGAATTTCTCGGTCACAAGATCGATGGTGAAGGTATTAAACCCCTCCCGGATAAATCTCAAGCGATCCTCGACTATCCGATGCCCCAATCTGTCCGAAGCCTACGCCGATTTCTCGGTATGATCAACTACTACGGCAGATTCATCCCCAACTGTGCTGAGTTACTTCATCCGCTTACCGACTTATTGAAAGGAAACTCAAAGACGTTAACCATAACCCCAGAAGTTGAAGCCGCTTTCACGGCCGTCAAGCAGAAGTTTAGTGAGGTTACCTCTCTCCATCACTTGAACACCACTGAGGACGCTACACTTGTCCTTAAGACGGATGCTTCAAGTTCCGCTGTCGGTGCAGTTTTGCAACAGTTAGTTGATAACGAATTTCAACCGCTGTCGTTTTTCTCACGGAAGCTACAACCTGCTCAGGTCAGGTACAGCACCTTTGGTCGTGAACTGCTCGCCATGTATTTGGCTGTGAAACATTTCCGTCACCTATTAGAAGGACGTCGTTTCATACTCTTGACAGATCACAAGCCACTGGTGTACGCTTTCCGTTCTGCCTCGGACCGTTACTCACCCCGAGAAACGCGTCATCTGGACTATCTTTCGCAGTTTTGTGTTGATGTTCGTTATATCGACGGTTCTAACAACGCTGTTGCTGATGCATTGTCCCGCGCTCATATGAATCAGTTGTCGTCAACACCCATCGACTTGGAGAGAATAGCGGCCGCTCAAAATGATGATCCTGAGCTTGTCCAACTTCGTTCAAACCCCTCATTGAAGCTCACACAACTGCCCGTACTTAACTCTGACATAAGAGTTTACTGTGACCTTTCAACCGGTAAGCCTAGACCCTTTGTCCCACGATCATTTCGTCGAACCATTTTTGATCATTTTCATGGTCTTTCACACCCAAGTATCCGCTCCACCGTAAAGCTCATTACCGACCGCTTCCTCTGGCACAATATGCGTTCAGACATTAGACATTGGGCTAAACATTGTCTTAGGTGCCAAAGCAGTAAAGTTCACCGTCACACAGTCACTACTCCAGGTACATTTTCACTTCCTGACGCACGTTTTAGACACGTTCACGTAGATATTGTTGGCCCTTTACCTCCTTCCAACGGTTTCACCCATCTTCTAACATGTGTTGACCGTTTTACCCGTTGGCCACAAGCTGTTCCCTTACGTGACACATCTACCGAATCTGTTTCCCGTGCTTTTGTCGAATCTTGGATTTCTCTTTTTGGTGTTCCATCCACCATCACTACCGACAGAGGCACTCAGTTCAGTTCCACACTGTTCCGTGATCTCAGTCGTTTATTAGGCTGTACTCACCTAAGAACAACCGCGTACCACCCCGCTGCCAATGGCCTCGTCGAGCGCTTTCATCGACAATTAAAAGCTGCCATCATGGCTAGTTCATCCGACTCACGCTGGTCTGAGCGTCTACCTGCGATCCTTCCTTGGTATACGCAATACAATCAAAGAGGACATTGGGTGCTGCCCGGCAGAACTCGTGTTCGGGACGACCCTCAGACTACCTGGTGAGATGGTACTGGACTCTCGCACCACCGGCGAACTAGACCCCTTCTCGTACGCTGAACGCCTCAAACAGCATTTGCGATCCATTCGACCAACGTCTACGCGGCCTAACCTAAGTAGACAGCAAGTCCACCCCGATTTGCACAAGTGTCCGTTTGTTTTCATCCGCGTCGACGCCGTCCGAAGACCTTTAACACCGCCCTATGAAGGCCCGTATCAGGTCTTATCACGGAAACCCAAGTACTTCGTGTTGAATATGAATGGATCAAAAAAATCCGTGAGCATCGACCTACTCAAACCAGCTTACGTTGAACCTACAGTCGAAAGTACTGATCCCATTTCCTCCCCTCAGCATACACCCGCCCCTGACTCATTACCCCCTACTCAGCAACACACTGCCGCCAGTACACCGAGTCTTCTGTGCCCTCCGACTACGCGCAGCTCTACACACACACGTTCTGGTCGTGTTGCTTTCCTTCCACCCAAGCTTGCTCAGTACGTTCCGTAGGACAACATTTTATCATAAAGCTCTTCTAAAAGCACATGGCACTTCAGCGTGATTAGCTAGAAATCAGCAACGTATATTATGACAAAGGTTTTGGATCAAGGGATGCTCTCCAGCGCCAAACACAAATGGCTTTAACCGCAGCCAGCTTTAAAAACCAGTTTCCTAGCTTAAACTTTTGCTTAAAGTAAAACTATATAGCTTAGTCGGTAGACAGTCTGATCGCTGTACGAGTTAAAATAAAGGCACCGCCATAATTGCAATATCCTCAGAGTACTTAATCGACTTCTAATACGGTAGCCAAAAACATTGCAACCAAAGCCGTACAACTTTTCTAGCATATAGGGTAAAAATAACGAAAAGTACAAAACGTGGCTAGTTGCAATACGACCTCCAAATGGTTGCGTATCTAGGAATGTACCATAAAGCTTCAAGTTAGCGGTACTTGCGACCTACGACGCAGCGGCCGCAAAAAACACGTTCGGGGCGTTTGGATAAAACCTGGACGAAATAGAACTATTTCGGCGTTGCTCCTCCCAACACTGGCACACGATGATTGCGGTTTCGTCCGGGTTTGGGCACATTAGGTGGCGATGGCATGAGCTGGAGTGAAACTCCGAGCCTAGTAATTCACGGCTGACGTCCTTAACACTATGCAACGGAGATAAGTGTGAAACCTGGAAAACAAAGCAATTGAATTCTGGTTGAAATTTGGGAACCCGCAGTGTAATTGGTTCACGACGCGAAGTCTATATTGAGACCTCAGCTCACTTTGAGGTAAACCTCGGTAATTCCAATCGCAAGGACCGTACCCAAATGAAAATATTTGGGTGTTGTTCCTCTCAGCACTGACATACCCCGACCGCGGTTTTGTCTTGGTTTGGTCTAAGCAGGCGGCGGGATCCCAAGCAAGTTTTTGAATTCAAGTGTGCATTCTTTCCGTTGTGCTACACGTTGCTCGCGGTTCTCAGTTGCGTAGTGCTCAGTGCGTCAGCCGTGAATTACTAGGCTCGGAGTTTAGCTCCAGCTCATGCCATCGCCAACTAAATGTGCTCAAACCCGGACGAAACCGCAATCAGCGTGTGCCAGTGTTGGGAGGAGCAACGTTGAAATAGTTCTATTCCGTCCAGATTTTATCCAAACGCCCCGAACGTGCTTTTGCGGCCGCTGTGTCGTAGGTCGCAAGTACCGCTAACTTGAAGCATTACGGTACATTCCTAGATACGCAACCATTTGGAGGTCGTATTGCAACTAGCCACGTTTTGTACTTTTCGTTATTTTTACCCTATATGCTAGAAAAGTTGTACGGCTTTGGTTGCAAGGTTTTTGGCTACCGTATTGGAAGTCGATTTAGTACTCTGAGAATATTGCAATTATGGCGGTGCCTTGATTTTAACTCGTACAGCGATCAGACTGTCTACCGACTAAGCTATATAGTTTTACTTTAAGCAAAGGTTTAAGCTACGAAACTGGTTTTTAAAGCTGACTGTGGTTAAAGCCATTTGTGTTTGGCGCTGGAGAGCATCCCTTGATCCAAAACCTTTGTTATAATATACGTTGCTGATTTCTAGCTAATCACGCTTAAGTGCCATGTGCTTTCAGAAGAGCTTTATGATAAAATATTTATCACTTAATTTTACTAGAAAGCATTAAAAATTTTTTTACTGAAATTGCTGACGCAATCTTCTTTCTCTCTTTCCATGAGCCCACCTTTCAGCGGGAACGTAATTAACCAAATATGGCTAATGGAATTGGGCTAATTAGCGTTGGGAAACCGCTCCTACGATGTTGCCAAATTGCTCGCACCCAAGGGTTATATAAATTTAACTCCATTATTACCCATGCAAGAGCATGTGGTTAATAAACATTTTGACCTAACCCTCGAGCGCACAGCTTCTAACCGTCGCAAAATCTACCAGTATTTATTTATATAAGTTAAAAACATGCTAGTCAATTGCGAACATGGATGCTGCAAGAAAGTGGTGTGCATTATAACGAATAAAGCTGGAGGCGGCGCTTTCATGCATGATGGAAGACATGCAACGTTGCTCCTTCCTGCACATAAAGAATTAGGATGCATGTCGCGCAGTGTATTGTTAGAACACGGTGCTATGTAACCGTGCTTCCAGAACTACATCGTTGCAAATAGGCACGCCACTGAATAAAGTCCCTGCCAAGAACTACATATTAGCACGTTGATCAGATTCTTATTTCAATCAGTTCTTGGCATGCACAAGAATAAGACACGCTGTCTTCATATACCGCTTTCCCTACACTTATTGTGTCTTGTCTTTTTGCACTTGCTCAATTGAACCTAGGACAACGATAATTCATTGACGACTTTATTTCCGATGATTACTTCTGAACCTAAGCACTAAGCACGTATTTTGGCCTATGCCGCTCACATACATACCAACGTCTATGTCGCGAAATATAAACGCCTGTAAATTTTGCCCATGCCTGGTTCAGTGTGCCTCGATACTTTCGAGAATAATCCATCAATTTACTTTTTATTAATTATTTAATGAAACTACAGGTGATGGCTTTTGGCATCGTGCTGCCGTCTACTATTTACGCACACCACATCACACAACAGTGTTACGGCCGCCTCAGTAACGAAAGTTGAGCGACTTCTGCGAAACATTATGTACTACGTTTGTGCATCGCTGTCCGCAAAACTGTACTAATGGTCAGAATACCGCAAAAGGAAGGAGAGGAATGTATCTTGGCTGAAGGTGTGCAGCAATTAAATGAGAACGGTCCCGTTATGTACCTTGAAGTTTATTCGCTTGCAAAGTACACCTTCCATAGGCAATGTTTGCAAAGCGTGTGCAACACCAGGGCTTATATAGTCGCTCGTGGGTGAGTGTTTCACATCGCGTGTATTTAAATCGAGCAGTGTAAACGCTGACAAAGGATCTATGCGTGCTTGCTATCAAGCACCTCCAAAGAAAGAAGCAAATAAGGTATCCTGCATGCCACCAAAAGGTTATCACGGTTGCAGGGAAATAGATACCCTAAGTTTTAATGCCCTGCTTTTCAGGGGATTATGGCTCCAAATACTCCGTCTCGGCAAATTCATACCCATGATCACCGGCAGAACTGTGTGCCTTTTTCATGCATCTGCGAATTATTTGCGATACGGTAAGCACGGTGTTGCTTTATTGCTTCTTTAATCTGTAAGTATGTTATTTAAAGAGGATGTGAAAAACAGATCCAGCTTGCTATGCGTCTGCACCATATACACCCAATATATGAGAGAATGACCGTTGCAATGCATTTCCTCCACTCCGTATAGAGCGAAGTAAGCACTTACGGATGCATGTAAGGCGCCCTCTGCATACTCCAATTATAGCATAGAAAGCACGGAATGGTATAACCTATGGATGGAAGAATTTTGGTGAGTATTTTTGTTCGCCGCAATCAGCCAACAATTTAGATATGTCGACCAGCTATCTGGAAAAGCACCAGCTGGCCGTTTCGCCCTATGGCGTCTCATCAATGGTGCGCATCCTTCGATCCTCTGCATAGGATCGAACCCATGACTGCTAGTGGCTCTCGCCAACTAGTCCGCAGCTTATGCAACTGCGCCATGGAGGCCGGTATCTGACTATCATGAATTGTTAGCTAAATGCGATATGGCCCAACGCATCCTCCACTGCCAAGCAGGCACCTGCCATGCAGATGACAGCGGTCGGCCTTCCGGCGTCAGGACTTCCCGGTTACGGCAACTATGAATCGACATAGCATTTTGTGGAATCCGTACGGGCTAATTGGTATTACTTATGGATGGAGGATGCGTCGGGCTATATCGCCTTTAGCTAACAATGCATGATAGTCAGATACCGTCCTCCATGGCGCAGTTGCATAAGCTGCGGGCTAGTTGGCAAGAGCCACTAGCAGTCATGGGTTCGATCCTCCGCAGAGGACCGATGGATGAGCACCACTGATGAGCCCCAATAAGGCGAACCGGCCGTCTGGTGCTTCTCCGGATAGCTGGTCGACATATCTGAATGGTCGGTTGATTGCGACAAACAAAAATATGGAATGGTATAGCTTATGCATAGCAATATATAAATCCAGAAAATTGACGTAGTAGTGAGGCTAGAACAAGGGTTTTCCTAACGTCGTTCCGGCATTGAAGTTGAACCTTTTCAGCTCAGCGGCTTTTCAGGTTGCCAAATATCCCGAACCGTGGCGGCAGCTGTAAAACCCCGCCGGCCTTGAAACATAATTTGCATTCATACGTCTTGTACGCTTCATTTCCTTTAGCAGTTGTCTGGTGATAACGTTTCTCTGTTGGATCTGCTGTTCAAGACTATAACCAACTGCGCAGCACCCCGAGGCACACCGCCTGCATATACTCAATGGAAACTGCGGATAGCATAGCAATCAGGTCACTCAACTAGGAACACCTCTAAACCACAACATGAGCTGTACGACGCATTCGTCCGCAGTCGGTAATCAGGGGATAGAAAGTGATGTTGCCATTCAAATAACCTCCCTGATGTACATATTTGCTGCGGCAACCAAATCCTATG